TTTCAAAATTTTAAATTTCAAAAAAAAAAAGTCTAATTTAACTGAAGCTCAACACGGACAAATAGTTGGCCTTTATAAAAGTGGTGGAGCCTCATATAGAATTATTTCTAAAATACTTGGCTTCCCACCACAACAGTATATCGTATTAGAAGTCATCCAACAATCTAAGAAATCTTAAACTTGAGGCTACTTTAAAAGAGAAATGGAATAAAATTCCTCAAAATTTTTTAATGAATTTGATTGAAAGTATGCCTAGTAGAATTCAGGCTTGTATAAAGAGCAAAGGATACCCAACTAAACATTAAAAATAGTTAAAATTTTAAATTAAAAATTATTACATAGAATTTGAGAATAAAATAAAAAATTTTGTGTCAGAGATTTAGTGATCGTCAAAGAAAATTTTAATCAAATTTCATTTTTATATATTTATTCAAGTTCTAAAGAACCTAGATACATGGGTTTTCCATAGATATTCACAAGAGCCTAAACCGCAAATGATATAAATTTCATATATGTTTATTATGTATATGTTTGCGCGATCAGCAAAAGCAAGTGTTCTGATACTTTTGTCCAGGTACTGTATATATATATAATATAAAAATGAAATATTATTAGTACAATCTTGTCTTATAAAATTCTAATTTTTTTTTTTATAAATCAATAGTTTTCCTTAATTTAACAAAAACATATAATAGAGGACAAGAATTTGTAACATATGTTGAACTTTACATTACCTTTTTAGTAAAACTTTATTAACAAAAGTTATTAAAAGCAAATTGTTCAATAGTTTTAATCCCAGAGAGTATATATACAAAGTTTCATTTAAGTTTTGCAATTTTACAGGAGGTTTTATTTGTTCAAAACCTTAAAATTAAGGTCATGTGATTTTTTTTGCCATATGATGTACCATGTAACTGAACTCTACCCTTAAGAGATAACTTTACAGATTATATTTTTTTAACACTTTTTTAATATTAACTTAATTCCATCTGCATCCATTGGCATCTGCAAATTTGACATACTTTACTTAGTACTGGCATTTCCAATATGGTATTACATGGCAGATGTGTAGTTTACAATGAAATTAGGCTCCAAAGTATGAAAAATTACAAATCAAGTAAAAATAAAGCAGAAGCTAGGGAGTTGGGTGGATGAACTTGTTATCTTTTAAAAAATTTTCAAGGTATAATAGTGAAAAATTTCAAATGCACACTTTGTAAAGAACTAAACTTTTAAAGAATAAAATGAAACTACTAAAGGAAAAGCCGAAGGAAGATGTTACAAGGTATTCATTCTATAATTATTGTTAAATTAATAGTTTTGAATAATATTTATTTTGTATATCTATTTCTTATTATTAGATGAATAAATGATGGATATTAGGAGGTAGTCATTCTATAATTATTGTTAAATTAATAGTTTTGTATAATATATTTATTTATTTATTCCTTTTATTAGATGTGGATATAGAAACAAGGTAGTCTATAATTATTATTAAATTAATAAATTTGTTAAATTTGTGTATATAATAAATATATTTATATGTATATTTCGTAGATAATAGAAACAAGGTATGGTTGGCTCGGTCTAAAGACCTCCTGTTGCTGCGCCACATACTTAATTTCAAAAATTGCAATAAAAAAATTTCAAAACGCGATTTTGGTTTCCAAATCTAGATATGATGGTCGAGTATTATGCTAAATTTAGTAATAATGATCAAAAATCTAGTTAAATTTAGCGACGATCCTAGCGTTCAAATTTCTCATGAGCATAGTAAATAGTAAAGTACATGTTTTAAAAAAGAATAGAACTCTACAACAAATAATTTTTGGAGAAAATTTCTTCATTACATTAAAAGTAGAAACCTATTTTACCAACTAATGAGGCTATTTTTTTAAAAGGTAGGACAGAAAATGGCTTTTATACTTTTAAAATTTGCCCAAAATTTAGGAGGTCTTTAGACCAAGTCAACTATATGAGATTTATTAATACTTCTCTAATAAATGATTGGTTAAAGATACAAAATAATTGATGAAATAATTTAAATGTATAGGATATCTGGATTGCTATGGTTTAAATGGATAAGTATTCGGATATCCATATTGATAGCTCTACTCTGGCACCTCTGTTTTGACTGGAATTACCATATATAAATATGACGACAATGAATTCATAATCACTTCCTCTTTGGTTTAAAAATATGGATTAAAAAAAAGGTCATCATCATCCAAACAAATTCTTGGATTTGAAAACGATTGAAGTGGCTACTGTCAATATATGATCTTCACCATGTCCACCTGTGGGAATTACCTAGCTCTATGTTGGCTAGTTTCTCATTGTATAAGAGATCAAATTAAACAAAAAATTTTTGGATTGATCGGCAACGTGTCACTTGATTTATACTATTCACAGCTCACATTAATCTTAATATTTTATTTTGAGATTAAAACAAACTAGAAAATTTATATAAAATATACAATATTGATTTTTTTTTCTTTATATGAATTTGCATTGTTGTTTCTTTTACTTTTTTTTAATGTTCAATAATTTTTCAATTTCAATTTCCAACTTCTTGTTGTTGACTCTTTAAGGCAGCAATATTTCCCTTTAGATAAAAATAAAAGATATATTGAAAGATTAAAAACTAATTAATTAAAGTGATTATATATGATAAAGAAAATCCATAATAATACCTTCTTTGCAAATCGTTGATTGCTAATAAATTTAGGATCAACCTAAAATAAAAGAACATTAGTTATATAGCTTACGAATAAAATATCTATACCTATATATATTAATATAATTTATATATAATTTACTAACTCCTTTTAAAGAAGGATAACGATATGTCTTTGGTTTCTTAATACCATTACGGTGAGCTTTACGATCTATACAACAAAAGAATGTTTAGAATGTTATAATATATTTGGGAGAAATGCTGCTTTAGGATGAATATAATACATACTTTGGTTATGGTTGGTGTGATTTTTACTTTTAGCTAAAAATTTATATTATTCATTCAATTAGGAAAAAAAAATAAGGAAGGATTGCAAGATAGAAAATTAAAATTATATTTACCCATTTTTGAACTTTGTTATAACTTTATAAATAAATTAAATAAATTCAATTTCTTTACATTAATTCAATTATAAAATCGATTTAGAAACTAAATAACCTATAGATGGAATATTTTAATTTCAAAAAAAAAAAAAATATATCAAAATTGAAAATTGATCTTATCACATGATCTAAAAGTGCAATAATTCTTCATAAATAATGTCGGAATCTGTTTTAGGCTCTTCAGCTCGTCAACGCTTAGAATCATTTCTTTTACTTTCCAAGTCTGCCAAGGGCAGCGCATGTGTACAACTCATCAAAGATGCTTTAGGAGCTCCAGGTGTTTATGTATTTGCAGAACTGTTAGACATGCCAAATATTGCAAAGGTATGAAAAGTTCCGTCTCTTGAAAAGATAGTAGATTTAATAAATAAAATTAACCAATTAAATTAAAAAATCATCATCACAAACTTGGGGAAGAGAAAATTATTGGTGATCCAAATAACTTTCCATGAAATAGGATTCTAGGCAATTGGATTTCACAATAAATTTAACAGACTTTTCCTGTCTATGTTTAATAGCTTCGAAACAATGAACAATACCAACCCTATCACACATTGTTAAGGCTTTTCTCATATGGAACTTATAAAGATTACAAAGGTAAAAAAATGTGTATATACACATATTATTGAAAGAAGAAAGAATACCTTAATTAAATTGGAAATTTCATATATTAGATAATGTTGAAACATTACCACCATTGGATGATGCACAATTAAACAAACTTAAACATCTGTCAATTGTATCTTTATCCGAAGAAGCACAAGTTAGCAATTATATGTTTATTAATGTTGGGAATTTATAAAAGTATGATTAACATACCTTCAATTATTTACAATAGACAATTCCATATGATACATTATTAAAATACTTTGATATACCTAATGTTCGAGAACTCGAGGATTTGATTATCCATGCAATATATCAAGATGTTATTAAAGGTAAATTAGATCAGAAAAGAAAGCAACTTGAGGTTGAGTATACAATGGGAAGAGACTTACGCCCAGGGCAAATAGATCATATGTTACAAGTTTTAAATGCCTGGTAATTATTCATAAACATTCATAGGTGCATATATCTGATGCGAACAAACACATGCATATGCACATATATATATTTATTTTATATATATATATTTTAAAGGTCTCACACATCTGAAGAAATTCTAAAATCAATTGATGCAAAAATTATTAAAATTCGTGATGATGCTACAGAAAATATGAAAAAGAAGGAAGAATATGAAAAAGAAGTGGAAAGATTAAAGAAAGAAGTTAAATCAAGCCCAAAGGGAGCAGATAATACTGATTTTATTTTCTGATCAATATATAGCATGGAATATCATGATGAAAAATTTTAAAGGTGGTAGAACAGGAAAAAAGGTATGATATCAAACTTACTTTAGTAAATAATTATAAATTAAATAATTTTACTAGTGAGTAGAAATTATATATTTTTTTTAATTTACTTTAAAAGATGGTAGAACTTAGATGAATTCTACATGACAAATAATCTTTCTATATATATATATACATATATACACACACTATTATTATTATTATAATACATTATTTGCACCTCCTCATAAATAACTGAAAAAAATGTATGATGAACAGTAGGAAACGTAATCGACGACATTAAAAAAAGAAATGAGAAACATTTCCAATATTGCTATTTTTATATAATTGAAAAGGATAATCACTTTTTTTTTAATAAATAATAATTTGAAAAACGATATGATCCATTAAATTAATTGAAAGTGTTTTATAAATATTGGTTATTATGTTTGCATTGATCTTGTATCTGGATATTATGGCACGTTGGACATGCCAAAAGAATTGAAAATAAATTTTTTTTTAATTAGCAAGATTTTCAATGCCAAGTATGGTTTTTATTCTAATCACACCAACCTGTATCGGCCTACCGTTATTATTATTTTCTTCTGTTGATCATCAAACATATGCAATAACAAATTATATGTGGGGATTTTTTAGTATCTTTATCATCTATTTACTATTTACAATATTCCTTAATTTCATAGGCAATTGGATTTCACAATAAATTTAACAGACTTTTCCTGTCTATGTTTAATAGCTTCGAAACAATGAACAATACCAACCCTATCACACATTGTTAAGGCTTTTCTCATATGGAACTTATAAAGATTACAAAGGTAAAAAAATGTGTATATACACATATTATTGAAAGAAGAAAGAATACCTTAATTAAATTGGAAATTTCATATATTAGATAATGTTGAAACATTACCACCATTGGATGATGCACAATTAAACAAACTTAAACATCTGTCAATTGTATCTTTATCCGAAGAAGCACAAGTTAGCAATTATATGTTTATTAATGTTGGGAATTTATAAAAGTATGATTAACATACCTTCAATTATTTACAATAGACAATTCCATATGATACATTATTAAAATACTTTGATATACCTAATGTTCGAGAACTCGAGGATTTGATTATCGATGCAATATATCAAGATGTTATTAAAGGTAAATTAGATCAGAAAAGAAAGCAACTTGAGGTTGAGTATACAATGGGAAGAGACTTACGCCCAGGGCAAATAGATCATATGTTACAAGTTTTAAATGCCTGGTAATTATTCATAAACATTCATAGGTGCATATATCTGATGCGAACAAACACATGCATATGCACATATATATATTTATTTTATATATATATATTTTAAAGGTCTCACACATCTGAAGAAATTCTAAAATCAATTGATGCAAAAATTATTAAAATTCGTGATGATGCTACAGAAAATATGAAAAAGAAGGAAGAATATGAAAAAGAAGTGGAAAGATTAAAGAAAGAAGTTAAATCAAGCCCAAAGGGAGCAGATAATACTGATTTTATTTTCTGATCAATATATAGCATGGAATATCATGATGAAAAATTTTAAAGGTGGTAGAACAGGAAAAAAGGTATGATATCAAACTTACTTTAGTAAATAATTATAAATTAAATAATTTTACTAGTGAGTAGAAATTATATATTTTTTTTAATTTACTTTAAAAGATGGTAGAACTTAGATGAATTCTACATGACAAATAATCTTTCTATATATATATATACATATATACACACACTATTATTATTATTATAATACATTATTTGCACCTCCTCATAAATAACTGAAAAAAATGTATGATGAACAGTAGGAAACGTAATCGACGACATTAAAAAAAGAAATGAGAAACATTTCCAATATTGCTATTTTTATATAATTGAAAAGGATAATCACTTTTTTTTTAATAAATAATAATTTGAAAAACGATATGATCCATTAAATTAATTGAAAGTGTTTTATAAATATTGGTTATTATGTTTGCATTGATCTTGTATCTGGATATTATGGCACGTTGGACATGCCAAAAGAATTGAAAATAAATTTTTTTTTAATTAGCAAGATTTTCAATGCCAAGTATGGTTTTTATTCTAATCACACCAACCTGTATCGGCCTACCGTTATTATTATTTTCTTCTGTTGATCATCAAACATATGCAATAACAAATTATATGTGGGGATTTTTTAGTATCTTTATCATCTATTTACTATTTACAATATTCCTTAATTTCATGTTTGTTTGAAGGTTTTGATACAATTTTTTTATTATAGAAAAAAAGTTTATTATTGGTCACTTAATATTAAATTATAAAAGTAAATATTTGAGGTCACGAGTGGACAAATATAAATTATGACCATAAATACTTTTGCAATTTAAAGAAATAAATTATTCTATTCCCTTTATTTTCTTCCTTCCTTTCCTTAAAAAAAACTTCTTCGGTTAACATTTTTTTCGATGATAATAATAATAATAATAACAACTCCTAATTAAATTTTTACGAATATTGAAAATCAATTTATTCAAGGATATTTGAATATATATAATTTATTTTATATTTTGGATATTTCATAATTATTTTGGATATTCATTATTCCAGATATTAGTGATATTCGTATTATTTATTTCAAACATTTCATTTGTTACAATTACAAATATTTGATAATATTTAATAAATAATTTAAACCTTAATTTTCAAGTACGAACGGTGGACATAATTCCCAAATTTTAAAAATATTTGAAAATCAACTTGACTCCCTTTTTAAAGCTGAATTGAATGGTGGGTGGTTTTTTTAAAACCTGACATGTGGATCACAAATCTTTAACTACTGTAATAGTAATAGTTGTATTCAATGAAAATTAGGTACGTAGGATCGGTGGAGCAAATATTCATCTAGTTATTAATATCAACTAATAATACAAAAAACAATTGTTCAACATACATATTAGCATGTACAAATCCTATTGGTTGGAGTTTTCTTATCTTTTCCACAGCTATGCAAATATTATCAAAATGTCTTTCATAATTTTTGGTGTTTACCTCTCTCTTCACAAGTTTAGTTCCATTCTCACCGTCAAATATCTTTCCTATTTCAGATCATGCATATTCAGTGAGATAATCAGATAAGAAAATCAGCACGTCTTCCCATGAACGGGTCGGGTTCAGGTGGGCTTGGCCCGAATGCTTTAAAGATCAACCTGAATCACGAAATCGCAATTTTTTGAAATTTGAGCGTGTGGCACAGTAATAGGAGGTCTTTAGACCGAGCCAACCATAAAAATTTTTTTTTAAAAAAAAGGTGATTGATAACAAACAAAATTGTTTTATGTGTATATGTGGATCAGATTGGATAAGAAATCTTACTGACAAATGGTTTTTGGTATTGATTTGAGAGTTAATTATTATTTTCTTTTTTTATTCAAGAGAATTGTTTTGAAAGTAGGTCACATACATTTTGATTAATTAGAGAACATTATTTCTTGATTTTTTAATGATGCATTTAGAAAACAAGAAGGATTTTTGAACAACGATAACAAATATACTCAGGGTGTAATTATAAAGTGATGTATACAATTTAAAAAATGCATTTAAAATATATTTCTTTGATATATTTATATTTATATTTATATTTATATATTTACATATCTACATTTATTTTTATGTTTGTTTTCAAAATTCATATATCCATTCATATTCATGTCACCAATTTATTTATTTATAGGAAAATGTCAGATATATATATACGGTATTATATAATCGATGACAATTCATGATCAAAGGTAAAATGTTGATTTGATGAAAGTTGAAAAGTAAATAATATATTAGACTATATAACAAAAAACCAAGCCTATGTATTAAAAATATTCAATAAAGAAAGACTATATTAATTTTTTATTTATTATAAACATTTTATTTTTATCAATTTGAAACTAAATTTCCTTCCCTCCGATATTAATATTTGTTTTTCAAATTTGCGTAATGACCTTTGAGCCAATAAAATTTAATTTTTGCATGATATTTGGAAGGGAGATCGTCACAATGAAATCAAATGTCCAATATGCTGATTTCCTGATAACAATAATTTTTTTGTCCCATACTGTATATTCATCGAAAATACAATTCAACCTTACAAAAGTATTTGACTAGCAAGAACTTGGAAAAGAATGAAATATCATTATCTTCAATGCAAATAGATGCTGCCTTCATCACTTTATATTTTCGATATAAACATAATGATAAGAGGAGATTTGTAGTAGGTTTTAAATGTAGGATCTAAAGGATATAGAAATACCATAATTAATGGCAAAATGATTTTTATTGTAGTTTTTTCATTACAAGTGACAATTTAATTAATACTATTTACCAAGGTTTATTATATAAATTCCATCTACTTTTGTATATAAAAGTGATAATAACGCAAAGAATAAATTGATTGGTTCATAAATCAACTTTTGAAGACCGTGGAAATATAATTTATTTCACTTTATTATCCATGATATAAAGAAATTGCTGCTATATGTACATTATTAATTATTAAGGTTTAAAAAAATCATGGTATTAAAATGACAGTTAAAAAATAAGAACTTTCTTTCAAAAAAAAACTCGGCATACTTGATGGTTCTATGGCACGAGTTAAAATATTCATAGTAGCAAGATGTTGTTTTTTTTTTGTTTTGTTTACAAGAGCTTTTTGACGATAAAAATTATGTTTAACTTGAATTTCAATGATATTAAGTACTGTCTGTATCTTGAGAAATTGAATCGGCCATTTCTATTTGAGGAAAAGTAGATGTTGAAGCTCTGAAACTTTTTGGAATGAAAGGGCAGTATATTTTTTATTGTATAAAAAAAACAAACTTTTTAGATCACGGGGCGTTAGTCTCCATTTGACAAATCAGCTATTCCATGGGGACATAGATTATTTCACAGCTACGCCGCGAAAATCATTGATCATCATGAAGCAACATTATTAAAAAAAAAAAAAAAATTATTAAAATACACTCCAACTGATAACGCGTGCCAGATCCTATTCCTCAGTTGTACATGACTCTTCCACAAATCCTGACTATCTTAGCAAGTCTTCTCCCACAGTTTCACGCAGCAAATAGCAGGCCAGTTTTCTCACTGGACACGCTTAATAAAAGGTAGGAAAGATATCTATACTTTTAAGTGCATTCTACAGAATCGAAGTGGAGACAGTAAGGAGAAGTTTATGCAAGATATGATTCCTTGTTGTGCGTGATAATAAACAAATGATTGGTATATTAGTTAAATAATAATAAATATCATAATAATATTATTAAAATATATCCCAACAGATAACGCATGCCAAATCCTATGCCTCAGTTGCTACGTGACTCTTCAGCAAATCTTGACCATCCAGCAAGTCTTCTTCCACGGTATCACTCAGCAAATAGCAGTTAGTTGCCTCACTGGATACACTTAATAAAAGGTAGGATATCTATACTTTCTGCAGAATCAGAGTGGATGCAGTAAGGAGAAGCTTATTCAAGTACTCTCCTTGTCGCGCGTGATAATAAACAAACGATTGGTATATTTGTTTTGCGTGAACATTCATTATTATCATTAAAATGATTATAATGCAACAACATAATCATAAAGATATATATATATATACACATACATATAGGAAACTGCTATCGGATAATCTGGGAACACTAAAAAACGATTTGATAACAATTATTTACATCTTCTTTGTGGAAAAGGCCAATCTAACTTGATCTCCCGATGATATAAGAATGGAATTAAACTTCGGGGAGGGGTAACGACGCTCTGAAGTTATTTATCACATTGTGTCAAGCCTCTTCCTTGTCTGAAGCCTCCTAATTTGTTCAATTGCCTTGCCTGTAGAAAAATTATAATTCTATAGTTATGAGGTTTGCAATCGCATGACGCTTGCTTGTTTTGTTTTCATTAATTTTTATTTGTATAATGTCCTCACAATTTTGGGATATCCTCGCAATTTTGGGATATCCATGCAATTTTGAGATATCGTCTCAATTTTGGGATAACTTCTCAATATTGATAGAATATCTCAATTTGGGATATTAGAATTTCTGAATTGTATATAAGGAGCTTGAATTCAATGTACTTGTAAAATAACTTTCTAACAAGTTAATTGGTTTCGACTAAATAAAACTAAATAAATAAATAGTAATATTTTATTTAAAACTTTTATCTTTACCCAAAATTATTCGCTAATAACAAAATCAATTCATTGATCCCTATTCATTCTGATCCACACAAAACAAAAATAATTGTTATCACCAATTAAAGCACGCTCTCCTAAATTCAATCTGATTACTCATTGCTATTCTAAATATACCAGATAATGTTGATCACGATGACGACAATGATTTGACATACGCCCACTAGAAGTTTGTATCTTTTTATGAAATGTTGACCCAAACCATATAATAATTAAATATTGACAAATTTCTTATTTAAAGAAAGGGAGCGAGTGGTAAAATAGAATTACAACAATTGATAAAGGAATTGCTCGTTATGGCATAATATTTCTGCCCGAGAATAATAAATTCGATCAATTAAGAGGCCTCTTTACGAAAAATGAATGGAAAAACTTTGAGGAACAATTTATTATTAAAGTAGATGTCTCTTGGCATCACATACTAAGATGATCATTAGTAAATGCGTAACATTATTATTGT